GTGACTCGTCACCCTGCAGGTGACCATTCAAGTGCAGGAAGTGGAGCTGGGAGGCGGGGCACAACGACCTGGCAGCTTCCTGTCCACGCCAGGGGGACACAGGGTCCTCGGGAAGCAGCTGAGCGCGGACAACGCTGAGACGCACAGGTGACCCCCTCCAAAAACCTGTCAGCACGCCCCCTGGTGGCTACCATCATTACCCATGGACATTTAAAGCAACGTCTCATTCTGCCTTATCATTTTCTTTGAACTCTGTCTCACAGGCGCCTCAGACTGTGCAGACACGTGCATGCTGTTTGTTCTCACAATGTGTCATCCATTGGTTTTGTTTGTATTTAACTTTTTTGACATAAATGCACTGCTTTCTAAAAAAAATGTGTTTAAATTTGAGCTGTTCTGGTCAGATTTTTTTTTTTTTATATATATATAAAAAGAGGAGATCTAAGAATAAGCACGTCTGTTACCAATTTTGAAAATTAATCCTCATCATCATTACGGCGATGCCATCTTCATCAAATTCTCCACCTCAGTGTGTGTGGGTGAGTGTTTCTGATATAATAATCCATGAACTGGATTAGGAAACCTTTGACCTTTGTGATCCCGTAAACTGTCCTCTGTAGCCAGGACTGTCTTCACTGAGAGACTGTATCTTTTTACACAAGATTAATTAAAACCTGTTCTGTGTTTCTAAACTTCTCAGTGAATGCTTGAACTCTGGCCAGACTCAGGTGTTTGTTAGGTTGTGTGTTGGTGTGTTTAGGTTGTTGAAAGCTAAAGGAAAGTGTAGAAAAAGACTTGATCAGGCTGTTTTTAGGACTTAATTGGTCTGTACCCTCCTTCCTCTTCAGTCGCAGCCTGGGCCGCTTCACCTCCGGCTACGACCAGACACACTTCAACCCCCACCTCTTTTCTGACGACGCTGCCACCCGGGGAGCCTCTGGAGTGGTGGGCTCCTACAACCCCTACCTGCAGGGCGCCTCCCTCAAAGTCCCGGGCCTGGACGGTTACCAGAGCGGGGCTGTGGGGGCCGGCAGCTACGGGGCCCCCTCCACACTACAACAAGCCCTGCTGTCCCCGACTCCTTTGGACTACCGCCCCCCGCAGCAGCACGTCACCCCGACTCTGCAGGGCCTCCTGTCTCCTCGCCACTCTTTAACAGGCCACGCCGACCCCAGGTTGCCCCCGCAGGACTTGGCGGCCCTCCTAAAGAGACAGAGCCCCCGGCCGTGCTCGGCGGGCCAAACGCCGCCTGGCGGCGCGCCGCAGGATTTCGGGGAAATGCTTCTCCTCCGACAGCTGAGCCAAGGAGACAGTCTGGAGCCGCCGGTGCCTGCGGGCGCCTCTGGGGGGCAGCACTACCACCACCTCCTCCAGATCCGACCCCCAGACGTCCCACATCAGCAGCAGCACACGCCTCAGGTGCCGTGTCCTCCTTTGCCTCACTCAGAGAGCATGGAAGAGGACGAGGGGCCTGCTGAATACCACCACCCTCACGAGGGTCTCCTGGCCAAGGCAGGAGAAGGACACGAACTTCTGGGCCCTCCACGAGGAGGAACCCCCCCTTATAACTCCCCTACACACAGACACGCTGGCTACGTAAGGAGCGGTTCAGCTACTAGAGGTAGCTGTTTTAAATCTCTTGTATTTGTTCACATGGAGTCATTTTATTTTCATATTTTTGTCACCATCCTAAAAGAACAGAAACGTGCATCAATTTTTGTTTTACTGCAGTTTTATATATTCTGTCTCTTTTTGTTTTTCTCCTCAAACTTTTCATTCAGAATCTGAGCACGTAGAGTGCAGGCCCCAAGGACAGGCCATGGAGGTGCCTGATCACAATGGTGTGGGCTATCAACGAGGACCCCAAAGTGAGGCGTATAGATCTAGAGGACAGCTACAGCGCCACCACACCATCCAGACCTGTGATGATGCTTATGTGAGTGAAAATCAGCTGCTAATTCATACAGACTGCACTAAACACCGGCCAACATTTTCTATAATCATTTTCTATTTGGTGTTTGATTTTACTCACTGACTTGTACGATCTATTTTTATGGTCCCCTTCACACCTGGTACTAACTTAGGCTCAGCAGGCATTAACAACATCAGAGGTGGTCTGGACCTGTCACTGTAGGACCCCCAGAGCTGACATGACCTTGCACAATCTGCAAAGTTTTGACCTAAAAGTCTAGAGTTAAAAGCAGGAGTGCTCAGCCCATTAGGCCCTTTAAAATCTCTTTATTTTTTCCCAAATTCTGTCCTTTTTGTTTTTATTTTTCTAAATTCTGCTATTTTCCTTTTTTTTTTCATTTCTGAATTCCACATTTTTATTCTGTTTTATTAACCTAAAAAGTGTTTAATTACAAAGTGACTGAGGAATAATTTAACAAGTGAACAATCGCAGAACTGAAAATGTTATCAATTCAAAAAATAAACTATATTCATCCCAAAGTGAAGTTACATTAAATGACTGTTATTTCATTTTCACTAATATAGCAAATTGCTGTGGTTCAGCAGAACATTAAATGCTTTTACAAGGTGTTTAAAAGTATTTACCTGTCTTTTTTTTTGAAGAATAAAAAACATTTATACGAAAACAGAATCTCAGATAAACAAGAATTGTAAAATAAAAATGCTTTTGAGTTGACAGTTTAAACTATACTTGGGAATATTCTGAAGATTAAATAAAATAAAGACTGTAAAAATACTGTAGGCTGTTTAGTTTTGTACATTTTTTAAAATATATTTTAACATGGACAGAACCATTTTATTTACATGCAAAGCATTCTGGGTAAATGATGACATCAACTAGGTCATCGGTGCGAGGCTGCTAGCGAGCTATATCCACCCTGAAGGTTAATCTTGGACAATATCTGATGATCGGCTCTTTTAAATGAAACCAGAGAGCGTTGACAGAGAGGAGAAGGTAGAAATGACTCAGCCTGTAACTGAAAATATAGATGGAGGACAACAGAGCTGCTTCATGAAAGAAGAACCTCAGCTTAGCCTGTTAGTCTTTGTGCTAGCACTGATGCTACATTGCCTTATATGGATTAGCTCAGTGCTAGCGCGACAAACAAGTTAAACTGAGGTCCTCCATCCATATTTTCAGTTGCAGACTGAGTCATTTTTGTGTTCCCCTCTCTGTCATGTGGATGGAGGACCTCAGTGACGAGAGGAGAATGTGTAGCACTGAGCTAATACATATATATGGTGATAGCGTCGGGGCTAACGCCAAAGCTAACAGGCTAAGCTGAGGTTCTTCTTCCATGAAGCAGCTCTGTTGTCCTCCATCCATATTTTCAGTTCCAGGCTGAGTCATTTCTACCTTCTCCTCTCTGTCAACGCTCTCTGGTTTCATTTAAAAGAGTCGATCATCAGATATTGTCCAAGATTAAACTTCAGGGTGGATATAGCTCTCTAGCAGCCTCACACCAATGACCTAGTTGATGTCATCATTTACCCAGAATGCTTTGCATGTAAATAAAATGACCCCGTCCGTATAAAGTATTTTTAAACTTTTAGTTTAAAAATGATAAAAACTGAACATCCTACAGTATTTTTACAGTCTTTATTTTACAGTTAAAATATATGTTTATCAAATAAAGTCTAATGTTACAACTAATCGGGGATCCCTTTAAAAGTAGCTGAAATTAACACAAAGAAACAGAACACATTTGCTGAATTAAACAGTAAGAAACTGAAATGATCACAAAAAAGTGAATTTAGCTGCAAAAAAGCTCAGATGAGCTGAAATTAGCAGAATGTTAAAAAGTTCAAGTTAGTAGAAGAATAGCTGAAATTATAGCTTTAAAAAAGAAAAAAAATCTAAAACTAGCAAAATAAAAGCCAAAGGAAGCAAAAATTGGCACAAAGAATTTTAAAGTAGAACCAAAACAAAAGCTAAAAGTACAGTAAAAATTTATCTTCCATTTATCTTTAATGAGAAAACAAAATGGCAGAAAAAGCTAATTATCTCAAAAAATGTAAATTGCTGAAATACCAAAAGGAAAAGCCAAAATGTCCAGAAGAAGCTGAATGTTTTGATACAGAATAGTTGAAATAGCATAAAAACTGCATAACTAAAATAAAAAATGTATGGAAGAAAAAAAACATGTTTGTTAAGCATTCACACAGTAATGTAGTTCAGATGTTTAAAACTCTTGGTTTTACAGAAACCTCTGCAGACCACACATGTCTGTGTGTATCTGCATACAAAATGAGTAAATTACAATTCATTGCAACATATTTATCTAGTGTGAACGCTGTCAATCAGAGTTGTTTACTTTCAGTCAGATAACTCAACCTCAGGTCTGAACATATGAAGTGTTGATGTTAGTTTGGAGCATCCAGGTGTTAAACAGCATCAGCTCATCTTCGATGCATTTGGTCTCTTCTGTTTGCACAACTGGACGAATGGACTGACGGATGAATTCCGATGTTCTCGAACAGGACCAGGCCGATCCCATGTCCGGTATGAGCCTCTTGGCGGGAAAGGCTCTAAGCTCTGCTCGCATGTCGGATATCCTCAGCCAGACTTCGCTGACAGGAAGCCAGCAGCTGCACCAGCGGGAAGAGTCAGGTGTGTGTCTGTAGACATCTGTAGCATAGTGAGAATTTCCCCTCGTTTGTGTCAGTGCCAGTAAAAGACGTGTTTGTCTTTCAGTGTGTGATGTTGAAGGGGAGCTTCACGCAACAGCCTGTTACCCCTCGTCCTGCACCAGTGACATGCTCCTTAGCTACAAGCACCCTGACCTGCAGTACAGCATGGAGCAGGCTGGGGTCTAACAGGTACACAACTTCAACCTCATAATAAAAATGTAGAATTAATCTTTAGAAGATGGCAAACTAAAGAGTTTTCTACAATTCAAAGATGTAGATTAACATAAGGTAATAAAAATAAGATCAGAGCTACAGTCTTGGGAGAAAGAAAGTCCAGGCTAAATTCACCTATCAGGATGTAAGAAAAACAATGTTCTTTACTCCAAATTATCTGATCGTTTTTTGGTTTAGATCATTTTTGTCATTTAGCTAAGTATGTTTTAAAGGCAGTTATTTCTGCATCACAAGGTCGCTTGGTTCAGTTTTGGGTTAACGCCGTCTCTTCTCTGTCTCCCTGCAGGACGGGGTGAACCCTGCGTTTGTCGGTCCTTATCAGCCACCCTGAGTTGTGTTGTTGAGAAGCATCAAGCTAAAAAAACAAAACAAAACACCGTTTCCTGTCCAAGCAGAGGGGTGGGGGGGGAGGGGGGGTGCGCTCTGTGTCCATCTGTCTGTCTTCATCTGTCCCCTTGGAGGGCAGTCCACACAGGAGGAGGGGCAGTGTGAGTGGGTGTAGACATTCGGAGGGTGGGAGGGGTTAACAGGTGGGGGCCTCGGTGTTCAAAGGTCAAAGTGCCAGCATTTTCTACACAAGACATCCAGCATTGTTCTGCTGCAGGTTGTGTCCCTCCCCCCATCGTCTCACCTCCCATCTCGGATACCCTTCTTTTGACTCACCAATCCCACCACCCTCCCCTCGCAAAAACCCATCCCACCTGCAGCCGAAACCCCGCCCCTCTTTCTCCCCACCGTAACTGTACGGCATACATTCATTACGTGCCTCACTGGTCAGTGGAGTTCAATCAAACACACACACACACACACACACAATGCTGCCGCAAACCCAAAGTATTTACATTAGGAGTGAGTGTGTCTGTGTGGATATGATTGATTTAAAGATAAAAAAAAAAGGAGTGAGGCGATGGAAGTGGCGTTCGTGAAGTTCAGCCCGCTCCTTCCCGCCTCCTCGCTCCGGCTGTCCTGCAGCGGATGTTCCCGTAGCAGATCGGCGGCCCCCCCGGGGCAGTTTGTTCTGGGACTGGGGGGTCAAACGGGCACCAAAATCTCTGTCCAAAGATGAAAGCGCAGGAACATGGCACAGGACAAACCAGCTCTTCGTTCTGTTTTTATTTAAACTTCATTTTTACAGTTTAATGTAGGCATTACAGTCAATATGGTTACTCTTGTTTTCTGTAAAAGATGTTTTATTATAATAAATATTATAATTAAAGGAGAATAGTACTGCTTTGCAAGGAGGACAACGATGTTCTTTGATTAACTCTGCACTTTGGGTTCCAAGCTGTCCCCAGCCCCCCTCCTGTCAGTCCCTTCCTCTCGGTCATACTGTTTACCATGCTTTACTCCGCCGCCCTCCAAAGCTCCTGCAGCTCCAACATATAGAGGGAATGCACTCGCGTCAACGTCAGAAATGTGCCGAAACATTCAGCACGGCCTCTGCTCATGAAACCGGATGCAGAAGAAGCCGCTTCAATGAAACGCTGTGAGTTTTAGGGGCACCCGAAAGGTTTGTACGTGTTTTTATTTGCACTATCCATGTGTTCACGTAATGCTTGAATGAATGATCTTAACCTTATCGTCAGTTCAGGTCAGAGAGTTGATCAGATCAGAGTAGAAGAAGACCAAGATCATAAACGGTTTATCCTGTTATTGCTTTGTTTTTTTTACATAAAATACGAAGGCAGTACCCATCGTTCACCGCATATTTACACTTCTGATCCTGGATATGAGTCATCCTCATGAAATATGATTAATTTAAGATTCAAATTTGAGTTTGTTCCAAATTCGAAAAGAATCTGTGTTTTTATTTTTATAAAATATTGTGCAGAAACACAAAACGGTCCCCGATCATTGACTCCCGATACAATACCGATATTGCAGCCTTGAGTTTGGGCCGATATCGACCCGATACGATATCAGAAGGAATCATACAGACTAGGGTTGGGCAATATTGGCAAAAAATTAATCACTATTAATTGTGGTATTTAGCCGATAACGATTAATTTGACGATTAATCCCCTGGAGTCCCTGGACACCCATCTTAGTCACATGACAAATTTAGTGGGAAAGATTTGCTCCTTGTAAAAAAAAATTTTTCCAAATTGTATAAAAATTACAGACTTCAGGCTATACTTCAAATTATGAATTATGTTGATGGATAAATAAATTACAGAACTTTTTTTTCACCTTCGTCATGTTTGAAGTGGAGAGGAGCACCAGGCAGACTGACTGGAGAAATCTCCAGTCAGTCTGCCTGGTGGCATTAATCACATGCCAAAAAGTAATCAATTAATGTTTTTTCTGACGATTAATTGCACACGATACGATTATGCCCAACCCTACTACATACTTTTATTACTTATTTTATAGTGTGGAAGCTTTAAAAGTCTTGCTCAGGTCAATAGTCGACAACAGTAGGTATGAGAAAATTTGACCCGTTTATTATTAAACCAATGGGTTACATCTTTTTTTTTACTTAAGTAAGAACTGCCTACAATCAAATAAAATTAATTTTAAAAAAGTAGACCCGAAAAATTACCTTAAAAAATCCAATAAAAACAAATTATACTACTAAAGTGTAAAATAATCTGGATCCAAGCATTGCTGGACAGAAATCCTGGATTAGACCATTAGAATTATGTCGGGGATTTTTAGATGCAGGCTGATATAATCCGATACTGGATTTTTGACTAATATCAGATTGGACAACCCAAGTCTTTTAGTCACTTTTTGGGTGTAACTGGAGACATCTGCGATGGCGCCGCGTGCATTCCCTCTAGTCCCCGCTGTGTTGTCCATCTTTACCCGTCGGTGACAGTGTGTTGCATTGTGGGTAGTTTTTCCCAGACATTTCCTCCTTTTCTTGTACAGTGATGCCATGTATAGAAACGCTATTACAACTTCTGTATCTTAAGCTTTTCATTTTATTTTTGTTTCAGGTTCAATTCTCGTTTTTAGATGTTGGGGAAGCTTTTCTTTTTTTAATTGGTATTGTTTGTAATTTTGGATGTCTTTATTTTTATTTTAGCTTTATGAATCTTGAGATTTCTAGCCAAAAGAGGACAGCGGGAACGTGCTTTCTCTCTGTCGTAAAAAACAAAACAAAACGATTGTTCTTCTTATTATTATTTTATTAATATTATATTGAGACACTTGAATAAGATAAGAGCAATGAGTTTGTGTTGCTTTTTAAAGTATCATTTCAATCAATGTTGTTGTGACTGTCATTCTTGTTGATGTTGGGCCTGTTTTCTGTTACGGGGGTAGTTGATGGCAGGCTGTACAGGGTCAGGCTTTGGGCTTCGTCTGGGCTGGATTGGGTGCTACAGAGACTCGACACTCAAAAACTCAAAGAAAAACAAAGGAATAACCTGTAAAATAGCTGACATATCATCCTAAACGACAACGTTTCTTTCTCCCCGCTGTCTGCTGTGATCCTCCCGTCATCCTCTCAGCTTCTGATAAGACGGCGCCTTACGGACCCCCGCCACCGCCCTCCTTCAAAGCTGGCTTTGCTACTTTAACAACCATGGAGGAAACTACAGCAACAATTACTCCCACTTGTTTTCTCCGCCCCCATCGCCTGGTTCTGTTCAAATCTAAATCCCCGAGTTGAAGATGTGAGGAGGCGACGGCTGGACGGTGATGGTCCCAGTCATCACTGGGTACACCTGGACACACCTGTTTAAACTGTTTCAGGAAGTGACCGTTGGAATGGATTGTTTGAATCAGTCAACAAACCGATGTAAGGTTTGCATCTTGACCTTGCACAGCAAAGGACCGACTCTCCCCCTTTTTTCTTTTATTAGTTTTTATTTTATTAATTTTTTTTCAGCTCTGTCTTCAACTTGGGACATTGAAACAAATCTGGCTGCTTCACAGAGAAACGCTCCTGTTGTGTGATTGTACAGGTCAGAAACCACAACCCATGGCTGCACGGTTGACTTACTGTACATCCGCCTGCACACGGTGTACTTTCCAAAAACGCAGCTTCGCAGTTACTTTGTACCGACATCCGCCCCGTTTCAGACCCAGGACTGGTTTTGTTCTCAAGCACAAGAGAGCAGGTCAAAGCAGTGAGGTGCTCGGTTCATGTCCCCGAGATTCTGTTATTCCCCCACTTTCAACGCTCGTGATTTTTCTCTTTCACATCGAACTTCCTGGTTCTCTCTCTCGCCTGTTTACGCCCAACCAAAAAGAGGTGTGGAAGAGAAAAGAGCGAGTGTTGTTCGGAGGGAAGGAAAGAATCGAAGACGTTTATTAGCATGTTACTTATCAGGTCAGAAACGAGACATTTACAGGAAGAAACTTGACACGTCTGAATCAGTGTTGTGGCTGGCTTTGTGTGTGTGTGTGCGTGTGTGTGTGTATGTGTGTGTGTGCGTGCGTGTGTGTGCGTGTAGGTGGGGGCAGATGTATAGAAGAAGGGACCACTTAAGGGAATTTAAAGAACTGCACGAAGTTATAAAACAAGCTGCTTTCACTTTTTTCTTTTTTTTTTTATTGTTCTTTCTGCCCCAGCTCTTCCATCCCTAACTTCTGTCGTTTCTCTCCATCCCAGCAAGCCAGCTCTCCGCTTTAAACTTTTTTTTTTGTTTTGTTTCAGTAATATTTTAATCTTATCAGTTCGATTTTTTTCATTCTTTTTTTTTCTTCTTTGTTTTCATGTCAATTTCTGTTGGGTACAAAAATACTAAAGTGCAACAACAATGACTTAAAAAAATTTAAAAAAAAGATTATCAACCAAACTGAGATGAATAAATAAATATATATAAATAAATAATTTAAAAAGGTTGACTTGTGTTTTCCTTGTGTTGCAGGACCTGTCAGTCTCCATGAGTTTTTTTTTTTTTAACATTTTTTTATTAAGTATTTGTTTTTAAATCACTGCTGCTGTTCTGTAGATTCTGTTCTTGCTGGTGAATCCTGGTGAGCTCAGTTGGACTAAATGCGAAGAATCAAACCCTCGGTCATAGATCTGACAGCAGGGGTCTTCAAACTTTTTTTTTCTTGAAGAGCTACTTTCACAAAATGAAATTGTCTAAGAGCTGCTATTTGCAACATTTAATTAAAGGGATCCCCGATTAGTTGTAACATTAGACTTTATATGAAAAACATATACTTTAACTGTAAAATAAAGACTGTAAAAATACTGTAGGCC